TGAAAGACCTGAGCTAACATGGGGTTAGTTCGTTAAATTACAATAAAGCCTCGTGCAGTTTGCAGCAAGCTCTCGAATCCGCCTGGTGATTGGGGTGACCGCGAACCTGGCCTGAGACCCCGGATACTTGAGTTTTCGGGGGTCTAACAATACCAAGTGAAATAAGTCTGCAAAACAAATCAAATAATCTGTGGCTGCACTTATCTGAAATAGTCTAAATAGGCAAGACATTTACAAATGCACAAAAAGCAGATTGCTAGCTAATATTAAGTATGTTCTGTGGTTTACCAAATACATGTATAAGAAAGGGACAAAACGAGATGAAGAACAGAAATAGACAAAAAGAGCCTTGAACTTGAAGAAGAAAATCTCCTCCTATGGGTAAGTGTGGGTGTGGACTCTGAAACTGAGGCTGGTCTTGCATCACTGTTTTCAACTTTCTTAAAGAAATGACACTGCAGGGGGTCATGGTGCACACCTGTATTACAAACACTCAAGAGGTCAAGGCAACAAAATCATGAGTTTAAGGTGACTGTCAAAAATCTAAGAGAAAGAAAAAGGAGAAGGAGACGGAAGAGGAAGTCAGGGGAAAGAGAACGCTATCTTCTGAGAGTAAAGGTCCATGGCCGAGCAGGTAAACTGGGGACAACAGGAATGAGGAAATACAGGTTACAGCAAGTTTTAGTAAAAAAAGCAAGCCTGAGTGCAGACGATGCCACAGCCCATGACTACTTCTACCATTGCGCAGTGGATTCAAAACTGAGAATACAACTAAAAAAACAAAAAGATGGATAAGAAAGACAGGCAGATGGAGAATAATTTCACAGGACAGATAACAAAGGAAAATAAAAGAATAGAGATTGGGACAGGAATGATGTTTGTGTGAAAAATGAAGAGGAAGGTCTAAAGAGAGTATGCTGCAGGCCAAATATCACCGAGTTCTTGATACTGAAACCACCCACAATGTGGTCATAGCAGAGGGAGATGCACCACTGTGGTGTTTGAATAAGAATCCCTCCTCCCCATAGGCTCATATATTTGAATGTTTAGTCACCAGGGAGTAGCATTAGAAGGATTAGGAGGTGTGACCTTATTGGAGAAAGTGTGACACTGGGGGGTGGGCTTTGAGGTTTCAAAAGCCTATGCTAGGCCAGGGTCTGTCTCTCTGCTTAGAGATCAGGATGTAGTTCTAAGCTACTTCTCCAGCACCACACCTGCCTATTGCTATGCTCTTTGTCATGATGATAAAGGACCCAGCCTGACACTGGAAGTAAGCCTCCAATTAAATGCTTTCTGTTATAAGAGTTGCCTCCGTCATGGCACCTCTTCACAAAAATAGAATATGGTGACTAAGACAACCATAGAGAAGTGAAGTTCAATGAAGTAAATGAGTTTGAAGAACTGCAAGGTCAGGCTTCACCACTGAAGAACAAGGAGTTAGCTGGAGTCCCCAGCCATGGAAAGAAGGCAGGGGACTCACAGGAGGGAGTTTATGGTAAAAAACAAAAGAGCCGACATTACTGTTGAAGTGTTGAATGAATATAGGTATCTGTTTACAAGGGAACAAAATCAGAAGCAAAGGGCATTTGGTGGGAGTCCGGCTAGAGAATAAAACAACACAGCATAAAACCAAAGGACACATCAGAGGTGGAAAGGTCTAAGATTCACTCCCAAGCTCACAGGAAGAAGAGAACAATGGGTGAAACCATGGCCTCCACTAAATAGTCTGGGTTCAATGATAAACTAAGGGTCTGACCCAATACCAAGTGTAGTCTCAGAATGTCTGAAGGAACCGGCTTCCCTTTTGGCAGCCATAACAGCCGAACACG